AGTCCTCTGAGAAACAATCCTTAGCATTACCAGAAAGGGTTATTCCTTTAACTCTTATCTTCCCACTACTACTGCAGCAGCTACTCTTCTGAGAAGTAATCCTGAGCACTTACTTTATTGTTTTTAAATAAAATTAAATCTGGCTCTTGGCCTTTAAACCTTAGGACAGATGTGAAGTCTACTATTAGATATTAAAAGGGCTTTTTAGCCCTTCTTAACATGATCTAAGAATATGAAGTTTATGGCAAGTCATAAAATTAGAAAAGGGACTGATATACAGTCATTTCTGCTTCTTCAACTGTATGATGTCACTGTGGTTCAGGCACAATTAAAAAGAGTGGACCCTCTCCAATGACTCCAGAAATACTTGTAGTGTTCTCAAAACAGTGGATATCTAGCCCCACATGAGACCTGCAGTGTCTTCACATTCAGGGTAGGGTATGCAAGTGGGACATGAGTCTCAGACATTGGAAAATACTCCTGAACTACCTCTTTCTCACCTTCATCATTGTTTCATATATATATATATGGTTGATGGGCCTTTATTTATTTATTAATAAATCTTTTTTTTAGAGAGAGAGAGGGAGAGAGAGAGAGAGAGAGAATTTCAATATTTATTTTTCAGTTTTTGGCATACACAACATCTTTGTTTGTATGTGGTGCTGAGGATCGAACCCGGGCCGCACGCATGCCAGGCGAGCGCGCTACCGCTTGAGCCACATCCCCAGCTCCTATTTATTTATTTATGTGTGGTACTGAGAATCGAACCCAGTACCTCACACAAGCCAGTCATGTGTTCTACCACTGAGCCACAACCCAACCCAGCCCCTCCTGTATTGTTAAGGTTATATATTTTTTAATTTTCAATTTTTTCGAAAATTGTTAGCCATGGGAGGATGATGATATCTTTTCAAAAAAGAAAAAGTTCAGGTTTATTTTTTTTATATTCTTATTTAATTAGAAATGTTTAAACATGATATTCAATTTTATCAAATTCCTTTTAACTTCTATGGAGGAGAAAAATCAGCATAGTGATCATAATAGATTTCCTAATATAGAAATACTGAACCTTTAATAAATCCTATTTCATTATAAAATGTTAACATAATATTAGTTTATGTTTGCTAATATTTTATTTAATATATAGGTACCAATATTCACATGAGACTCATTTATAATTTGTTTAGCTACATTTATTGGGGTTTGATATCATAGTTAACTTCAAGTAAAAGTTTCTAAGTTATTCTTTTTCTAAATTCTTTAGTTTAAATTAATTCATCACTAAATTCAAATATTTTGAGGATTGGAATTTTCCTTCTAAGTAGCTCTGGGACTATATCTTAAAGTTTTAATAGAATTCACCCATGAAACTATGCATTCCTAAGCCTTCTATACCTTTTCTCAATTGATTATTTTAGATTTTAGGTCTTTGGGTTATAGCAATGGGCAAGATGAACCACATGAATACATTAAAATCCTCTGCTCAGACATGTCATGTTATGACCATTTACATTACACTAGTCAAAGCAAGGATACATGACCAAAGCCAAAAACAGCAGAGCAGAAAATAATACTCCATACACTGCCAACTATACCAAGGCCATGAAGGGAAAGGAAACTTACAAAAAATAAATAAATAACCTATCACAACTGAGCTAATAGTTTTATACATATCATTATTCTCAATTTCAAAGTATCAGCTTTGAGCTTAATTATGAGTTCTACTATTTTCCTGTTTTCTAATTCAATAGTTTCTTCTTTCCTTTTAGTTACTTCTTTCCTTATTTTTCTCCCCCTAAGTATTCACTTACTGCTTAATTTATTTTCATTTAAAAATTTCTTCTAATTCTTGCTTTAGCTATATTTCATGTACTTTGATAAGAGTGTTTTCATGATTTTACTTTCTGAATATTTTTCAATTTCAGTTTTTTTTTTTTTTTTAATTTCATTTTTTAGTTTTCGGCGGACACAACATCTTTGTTTGTATGTGGTGCTGAGGATCGAACCCGGGCCGCACGCATGCCAGGTGAGCGCGCTGCCGCTTGAGCCACATCCCCAGCCCCTCCAATTTCAGTTTTATCTTCACTTTTCATTAACAACATTTAAAATTTAATAAGTTGTTTTTTTAAAAATTATTACTTCTCAGTTCTACTGTCTACCTGGTAATTAATGTAAGTCTTAATGCTCAATTTCCTTACTATCTATTAATCTCTGATCATATCCAAATAAAATTAGTTATGCTATTGTGAATTATATATCTGGTTTTCCTCCCAGTTTCCTAAAGCCCTTGGAATTGCCAAAGTGATAACTGTCTTTTATATGCTAATGAGATAACTGGAGGCCGGGCACCCTAGATAGCTTTTAAAAGGGCAAAGACCAAGGCATGATAGCAGAACTTTCAGCCCTACCCTGCAACCTTGGGGAAAGAAAGAGGGACTATAGCTTAAGCTAATCACCAATGGCCAAGGATAAAATCAATCATGACTACTTAACAAAACTTCCGTAAAAACCTAAAGGAAAGGGTTTGGACAAGTTCTAGAAAGCTGATAAATGTAAAGGTTTCTGGAAAGGATAAGGAAGCTCTGCTCCCACTCCCACATGCCTCACCCTAAGCATCTTCTCCACTGACTATTTATCTATATTCTTTGTTGGTATAAAAACTATTCATTACCTAGGAAAGCTTGCAGTGAGATAAGAAGGACTTTACAAAATGTGATAATGAAGGAAATGGGTGGGGAAGCTAGTCACTTCCCTTAACTCCAATCTTCAGATGAGGATCAAAACAGTGATTGTGGCTGCAAAGTAAAAGAATGCACTCATAAAAACGTATGAAGGTGGGCTGGGGTTGTACTTCAGCAGTAGAGTTCGCGAGAGGCCCTGGGTTCAATCCTCAGCACCACATATAAATAAATAAAATAAAGGTATTGTGTCCAACTACAACTAAAAAAAAATAAATATTAAAAAAAAATATGAAGAAATTCACCTGTACAGTGGGCATGCCACCTGTCATATATATTAAAAATACCCCCACACACCTGGCCTAAGAGGTGTTGTGTGGGGTGGCAATTGAGAGTAGGTTAAACACTTTAATTTGTTTTCCTCTTTACATTAGCATATTTCTTTTTCCTACCTCTCTCCTTTACCCATCCAATTTTATTCTCTGTTAAATAATGTTCTTGTCTTTATTACTTGATTTTAGGTGGGTTCTAAATGGCATTTTTTGATATTCTACTTTCTAGGTATTAAAGATTAAACATGCAACCTCTTCTTCCTTCTACCATCATTTTTTTAGTTATATCATTCATATAAGAAAGGTTAATACATTTACATTGCATTGAACCATCATAATGCTCAAAAATGCTTCAGTTTTAGTCTATAATTAAAGATCTATCTATGCTCATTGCCAGTCCTTTTGCTGTATTTTTTCCAGTTATAGCTTGGTTGGATGAAATTTGTACTCAAATTTGGTTTCTTCAGAAGCTCTCGAGAACCATATGTCTCAGTACTTATACATTCAAAAGGTTTTCTGCCTTTATACGTGAAACATGATATAAAATTTGGGAATTACTTTTTCCTTGAGGACTTTATTATAGGTATTACCTTACTTTTTATTTGCTGTGGAGAAATCCAAGGCCAGCTTGAATTTCCCCTTTATCTGTGCCTGGCTACCAAAGCATTTTATTGTTGAGTTTTTTGGGAGAAGTCTACAAATTTTACTAAAATATGTCTCAGTGTTAATCATTCTAGGGCAATTTTCTCTGAGTGATGGTATACCTTTTTCGATATATAAATTCAAATTTTCTGCTATTCTATGGAAATACAATTTTTGAAATTGTGTCTTTTCCTTTCCTTCTTATCTTTTTTTATTTTCTCACTCTGCCTACTCAAAGGAGTACAACCATGATCCCCACAGTAGCATGAACCATATCCAGTGCCCAGCTCATGGTCTCTAAATATTATTCTAAACAATAAAGTAAGAAAAAATAAGTAGCCCCTTAAAGAAATAGCTAGTTCCAAGTATGAGGCAGAGAAAAATATCCTTCATGATCCTGGAATATTTTATATTATAAAATAGAGATTTTCTAATTTCCTTCATGCACCCTCCCAATGCACTGGTCTCAGGTACTCTTTAAAAATTACTGCTAGTTATCTAAAATAACAGTAAACACATTCTGTTCTACCCTATTCTAACTGAGCAGTACAAAATTAAAGTGACATCTCACAGATATTTAGCAGTAAACCCTGACCAATTTTTTTAAAAGCCAAACATACTAAATACTCAAGTCCATGACCATGAGTACCCACCCATATCCACTGAGACACACACACACTGACTGCTCAACCATTCCTATAGGGTTGTTTACTTATTCCTATAGGGTTAGTTCTCATTGCAAATTGCTCCTCCCACCCTGAAAATTGTTTTGGAAGTTTACATAAACAATTAATGTCTGAGGAGATGGCAATTACAGCCTACAGGAAGGCCACATATTTTTGTAAACAAGGTTTCTTTGGAACAGACACACCCATTTGTTTAAGCATTGTCTGGTGCTGCTTTCAAGCTACAATGGCATTGCTAAACAGCTGCAACAGAGATATGTAACATAAAAATATTACCAGCTAGCCTCTAAGAACAAGCTTGCTGCCTCTGCTCTAGTCCTTGATTCCTTTAAGCCACATCCCGTCTTTGTATCTTTTCATGCTACCAAAAAATATACCATCTGCATTATTTTACTAAAGTGCAGCCAAACAGAAAGAATGTCTTTAAGGAAAACTTAAATCCTGGACCAGGTAAGAGGTCTTGGTTTTGCCTGAGGCAAGGCTTCCTCAGAATAGAAAAGGTACTATTTATTTTTCCAGACTCCCTTCTACCCCCAACAAGTTCAAGATAATACTCTAGGAAGAAATTATTCTTTGATTAAAGCATTTCTTCAAGTTAAATATTTTTAGTGGATAATTGAGCTGACAAATATTCATAAATTAAACATTATTTGGCTCCTTACTTCTGATAGCAAATTCTCCAGAGACACAGGATCCATCTTGCTGTAGACATTCCAGAGATTCAAACTCACATCCTGCAACTGCAACAAAAGGCAAAGACATTAAAATAATTAATTCAATTCATTAGAACAATCAAAGTTATTTTCTGAAGCTCCGAAATTAATATCTTGGTGCTAGAATGAGCAATTAAAATTCCAGAAACTTGGGAGGATGCAGGAGGATTGCAAGTTCAAGACCAGCTTTAGCAATTCTGCAAGACCCTTAGCACCTTGGAATCTGTCTCAAAATAAAAATTAAAAATAAATAAAAAGAACTGGGATTGGCGCGATGGCACAGATCTGTAGTCCCAGCAGCTCAGGTGGCTGAGATAGGAGGATCACAAGTTCAAAGCCAGTTTCAGCAAAAGTGAGGCACTTAGCAACTCAGTGAGACCCTGTCTCTAAATAAAATACAAAATGGGGTTGGAGATGTGGCTCATTAGTGAAGTGCCCCCGAGTTCAATCCCCGGTACACCCCCGCCCCCCCCCTCCACACACACACACACAAAGACTGGGGCTGTAGCTCAATGGTAGAGAGCACCTGGGTTCAATCCTAGTACCAAAAAAAAAAAAAAAAAAAAATTACTACCTTGGTATGAACCCAGTGTGATTACAATAATAAATCAAAAATTTCAGTCAATTAAATTAGAACCTATACATTTTTAAAAATGCTTTCTCATTCAAGAAAACTGGTTTTTTTCCCCCCAGAATCTCTGGAATATTCTTTGATTATGTTCAATGTGTGTGTATACATATATACGTACATACGTATATACAAATATGTATATATTTAATCTATGCACATGCAGACATGTCCATTGTGTTTTTTGCCTTTGTTTAAAATAAAATTTTAATCAAAATAATGTGTCCATGGTATAAAATATCTAATAGTATAAAAGCTTGCAATAAAAAAATTCTAATCCCCTAGTCTGACCTTTTATAAACCTCTACTAGTTTCACTTCTCAGAAGTGACCATTTAGAGCTTTTAACATTTTCTTTTAAAAATTTATTTATTTTTTATTGGTTCTTCTTAGTTTACATGACAGTAGATTCCATTTTGATAAAATTATACCAGCATGGAATATATCTTATCCTAATTAGGACCCCATTCTTGTGGGTGGGAATGATAATGTTTGTTATGTACTTCCACATTTTGATGTATGTTTCTATCACTGCTTCTTCTTTCTTTTTAACTAAACTTTTTTTATATACCTTTATTTATATTTTTAAATTTTTATGTGGTGCTGAGGATTGAACCCAGTGCCTCCCAGGTGCTAGGCAAGTGCTCTACCACTGAGCCACAACCCTAACCCTATCACTACTTCTTATCAATCCAGAAATTAAATATTAACTTATGGCAAAGATGCAGCTCTCCTATGCTCAACCCATTCCCACACTTTTTCTCTACACACACTTACCATAACATTACTTTCTATCATGATACTACTTTTTTGTTTACATCACTAATTATCTTATGACACTAAAAACCTTATAAATATTATTTATTGAAGGCTAAATGCAGATGCATTTCTTTTTTAATGTAATTTTTAAAATTTGTTGCTTTTAGATATACATGATGGTAGAATGTATTTTGACATATTATATGTACATGGAGTATGACTTCCCATTCCTGTGGTCAAACTACACTTCTTTTTGCTTTCTTATTTTTATTTTTCTCTTATTTTAATTTTCTTAGAAGTACTAACAGATGTTTTTTTCTTTTGAGACAGTCTCTCTATGTTACCCAGGCTGTGCTCAAATTTGTGATCCTCCCACCTCATCTTTCCCAAAAAGCTGGTATTGTAGATGTGTGCCACATTGTCTAGCCCACAGCTTCATTTTTTTTTTCATTTGCATGATTTTTAGAAATTAATCCTAAACTTTCTAACTGCTCAACCCAATTTGTTTATTAAAAGATTTCTCAACAATGATACTATTGTCATTTAGGACCTGGTATTTCTTTGCTGTGTGGGGTCTCCCCTATGTAATATAGGATGCTGAAAAGCCTTTGTGGCCTCTATTCACTGGTTGCTAATAGCACCTCCCTTCACCTCAAAGCCAAACCAAAAATATTTCCAATACTGTCAAATGTTTGAGAGCAGGAGAGGGCAAAATCATCCCCAACCGAGAACAACTGACTTAAACTAAAATATTCCATTCTCTTTCTTCCCTTGTTTCACTCTGGCCCAGCTGTTGTGCAAGCTTGCACCGCTACAACATTCACTTTGAGTCTTCTCTTTGCTATTATCCTGAAGCTCTCAGATGACAGATTTAGTCCCATGACTTACTTTTCTCCTTTTTCTTGGTTAACCTCCTTGTTTACTGACACAGAACATTCAATAACTTTCTAAAAGGGATTAAGTGGGAAACAAACATTTTTTTTCAAATCTTTATTCTGTTCTCATGACTGTGCTCCTTTTTTTTTTTTTTTTTTAATTCTTTAAGATCTCTGTGTTTCACCTTGAATAGTTTGTACTACTATGGCTTCAAATTCATTAACCCTTTTTTCTACAATAGCCAATCTCAGCTAATGTATTTTTTAGGTTAGCTACTACGGTTTTCATCTCTAAAAGTTTTATTTGGGTCTGGTCTTTTTTGTATCTTCTATATCTTTCCTACAGTTCCTTGAATATAGAATATAGTCATAATAACTGCTTTAATGTCCTTATCTATTAATTCTAATATTTCTGTCAATTCTAAGTGAATTTTATTTTATTTATTTGTTTTATTGCTAGGGATTAAACCCACAGCCTATCATATTAGACAAGCACTCTATCACTTATTTATAATCCCTGCCGAATTCAAGGTAAATTATGATGACTGACTACCTCATTATCAATCATGTTTTCCCTACTTCTTTCAAACTTGATAATCTTGGGTGCCAGGCACTGTGAATTTTATCTTGTTTGTATTCCTATAAACATTCTTGTGCTTTGTTCTGGGATGCAGTGAAGTTGATCCTTTTAGGTCTTATTTTTTATGAATTATTATGAGGGTGTAAAGCAGTGCTCAGTCTAGGGATGATTATTCTCCAACCGTCCTGAGTACTCTGCCTCTCAATTATGTTTTTTCCAGTCTAACTGGCAGGAAGGGGCACTATTCCCAACCCTGAGCACAAATCAGGCACTTTTCTTGAATCATTTAAGACGGCTCTTTTTCCTAGGCCTTGGCAGTTACCTCACACACAAGTACAATGATCAATATATTCCACTGAATACTTCAGGTATGGGACTCTCTGCAGATCTCAGGAACTGGCTCTCTCTCTGGTGGTTCTTTCCTCTTTAGCATTCTGGCTGTCTTGGTATTCTGGAGGTCCTAATCACATCTTCTGACTCAAGGAGTACACTGGGATCTACCTGAGTCTACCTCCTTGGGCCATAGTCTAGGAATTTTCTCAAAGTTGTAAGCTGAAGCAATCATGGGGTTCACCTTGCTAATTTCCACCTCTCAGGAAATCATTATTCTTCATTGCCCGATGTCTAGTTTCTTGAAAACCATTGTTATACCTATTTTTTTTTTGTGGGGAGGAGGTGGATTTACTTCCTCTATTATTTGTTTTTGCTAAGGTGAAGATAACACTTGGCAAATACCTGATTGCATGTCACTCAGGGGGCAGGGGGAATGGCAGAGGGCGATAGAGGTTGTTATATAACAATCTTCAACTAATTCCTTCATTTTTAATATCACCAATTTTCATTCTCTGTCCTTTTATCATCTTCTTCACTAATCTAATCTGTTTAAGCCCCTTCTACCATACTCTGAAAAAGTTTTTCAAGTATGTCAACTAATTAGTTTTCTTGAGGGGACTGAATCTGATATCTCTTTTTAATGTAAATTTAATTCTACTAATGAGTTATGGATTTTTTACAATCTTTCCTTATAGTCATTCACCTCCCTTTTAACTCTACTCACCTGCTATATCTCATTTCTTTTTTTACAAACTTCATTCTTAAAAAGTACAAAAGGGAGGGGTTTTTTTCACTTTTGTTTTAATAGAAAAAAATATTTTTAAAAAGCATGTTATTTATCTTTACATTTAGTATGCTATGGTCTCTTTCATTGAATCTTTTCATAAGTCTTATTCCACCTCTCAATATGAAGAGCTTACGTTTGTCCATAAATAAGTAAAAGAATGTTCATGGTAGCCTTGTTTTTCAGAAGCTTTCTCTTAGGATCTTCCCCTTAGGGAGCTGGTTGTTATAAATTAACATTAGCAGTTCACAGTTCCAGAAGCTGGAGGGGGTAAGAAGAAAGCAGAGGCAGGAAAACCTGAGCAGAGGAACTTTCCCTTACTGCTTCCAGGAAAAAATAGTTCTCCATATCCATGACCCAGTGTAATGAGTCTAAATGCCAAGCAAAAACTATGGCTGGGTCTGGCTTCCTTTTTCATCCTGGCATCTATGACATCAGAGACAAAACACACTATGGGTGCATGATTTTTTTTTTTTTTTTTTGGTACTGGAACTGAACCCAGAGGGGCTTAATCACTGAGTCACTGAGTTATATCTCCTGTCCTTTTTAAATTTTTGTTTTTTAATTTTGAGACAGGGTTTCACTAAGTTGCTTAGGGCCTTGCTAAGTTGCTGAGGCTGGCCTTGAACTTGCAATCCTCCTGGCTCAGCCTCCTGAGCCGCTGGGATCACAGGAGTACACCACCACACCCAGCAAATGACTTTAAGTATGGCCATACAATAAAAGAGAATTTTTAAAAATTAAGTTATAAATATCTATAGTTCTCTTTTTCTTATCTTTCATAGAGTCAAGAGTTAGCCGGGAGTTGTGGTGCAGCAGCTCAGGAGCTAAGGCAGAAGGATCGCAAGTTCAAGTTCAGCATCTTAGTGAAGCCCTAAGCAACAGTGTGAGACCCTGCCTCTAAATAAAATATTTTAAAAAGGGCTGGGGATGTGGCTCAGTGGTTAAGCACCTTGGATTCAATTCTAGGCACCCAAAAATAAATAAATAAACAAACAAACAAATAAATAAAGGCAAGAGTCTTTTTGGCTTGGGCAGTCATCAGGTCATCAAAGTGGAATAGAGAGGACACTGGCAGTGCCAATCTGTAGACCAAACTACTCCTCACCATAAAGGACTGGGAAGGGTAGGGTAAAGAAAATAACTAGATGGGGGGACTGGGATTGTGGCTCAGGGTAGAGCACTTGCTTCGCATGTGTGAGGCCCTGGGTTCAATCCTCAGCACTACATAAAAATAAATAAATAAAGATACTGTGTTTATCTACAACTAAAAAAAAATAACTAGTTGGGGTAAATGAGATGGAGACAAAAAAAGAATAGCTGGGAGAATAAAAATTAGCAGTTACATACAAGGGCAGGAGCTAGAGAAAGGAACCTGGAGAGAGACCTTGTAGTAAATATGATGCATATATTTTCCTTCTCATGGCCTCTCTCTAGTATAGATCTACATTATCTTTCAAAAATTTTGAGAAGAGGTTTTTGTTTTTTGTTCCTGCAAACATGACTTCATGATGTGCAGTACGTTAAGGCCAAAAGCCCGTCTCACTTGGGTTACATTAACGGTACAGCCTTCTAGTATACCATCAAGCTATAACCTAGGGTCAGGGGCATAGCCTCAGAAGGCAGACCACCTTGCCCCAGCCCTGCCACTCACTGTGACTTTGGGAAATTCATCTAACCTTTCTATAAAAGAGAGACATAAAGTAGTACCTAGCTTGGAGGGTTTTTTTTTAACATGAAGTGCTGGCATAGAAAAGGTACTCTGTAATAGGCTGGGATTGTAGCTAAGTGGCAAAGCATCTACCTTGCATTCGCAAAGCCCTGGGTTCAACCCCCAGTTCCAAAAAAAAAAAGACAAAAAAAAAAGAACCCCACCAAAAAAAAAAAAAGAATAGGTACTCTGTAAATGCTTAGTTCATACAATTAATTACAAAAAAATATAATCTATTATTTTAAAACTGTTTAGCTTCCTCTATGCCCCATAGGGCCTGTCTCCCTTCAATCTCCTTCTCATCTGAATTAGAGTATTACTTCCTAACAGTGGCAGCTCTTGCAGCTTTGTTAATGCTCTGCTATTTATAGTCAGTACGAGAATACTGTGCTTTGGGAGCAGGAAAGGTACAGTCCAAGTGATAGCATCCCTCTTCCCTCTAGCCCTCCTTTAGTACATGCTGCTTCATATTAGTGGATGTGATGCGTTCCCACCAGGCAAACCTCCACATGTCCTGAGGATATTGGTACTTCTCAGAAGGAAAGCCAGGAATCAGCCCTGTGCCTTGTTTCTAAAGGTCACACTTAGGGCTGCGGGTAGTACAACACTTGCCTCAAATGCATGAGGACCTGGGTTCAATTCCCAGTACAGCAAAAATTAAAATAAAGGTCCCACTTACTCCCTCCCTAACAGAATGTCCCCATTTCTAGCATGACAATGCTCCCCATCCCTGGTTTCCTGTGCTGGGGCAGGTCATGTCAGTGGTGATCCTATGGAGGCATATGAATGCCTGTCGTCCATGCTACTAGACTACAAGGCCATCCTCCCTACTCTCTACCCTGAATGATCCCATCTCCCAGACTCACTCATTAATTCACTTGACAAATATTTATTCATTATCTCCTAGATTCAAGGAATACTGAAATAAAAGATTTTGTCTTACCACAAAAGCTAACCATTTTATTTCCTCTACTAATACTATATTTATACAAAACCCTGCATTGTCCCTTTCATTGTTTTTGAACAGTTGTCAAATTACCTGACTGAGGTACAAAAACACGGCTCTGTATACCTACTCAAGGAGCCTGCAGTCAGAGACCAGAAGTGAGTGGGTGAGTGGAGTATGTATGACAAGTGTGACAACAGGACAAATGCTGCAAGAGAAGTCAGTCTTGGGTGCTATAGGGGTAGACAGGAAGAACACCTAACTCAAAATGGGGAAAGAAAGAGAAGTTCCAAGAGAAACTTCAAGAAGAGAGGATGTAAGAGCTCAGTTTGGAACTAGCTTCAAATAGCAACTGTTTTCCATTTCAAGTCTTCTAATTTGTCCCATGTCCTGGCATGCGCGAGGCACTGGGTTCGATCCTCAGCACCACATAAAAATAAAATAAAGATACTGTGTCTACCTAAAACTAAAAAATAAATATTTTAAAAAGAAGGAAAAAAAGAATACAAGCTTGTGGGGCTGGGGTTGTGGCTCAGTGGTAGAGCACCTGTCACTGTCAGTTTTCAATGTTATAACAATGCACACTTACTTTGTGGGTCCTTCACAAAAATAGTCCAGTGGCACACAAAACCCAAACATATTACCTTTCATACATACCTCATATTTCATGGTAAAAAATCCATCCCCTCCAATGCCCTCCAGTGCAAAGGCCTGAACAATTGGCCATTTTTCCACCACAAACATATCAAATATCTGCAAGTGACCTAGAGGAATCAAATACAACAACACATATCAAATAGCATCCTAGATATAAAAGTCTAAACCTGATCTAATGTGGCTGGACAGGCATTATTTCTCACAAGTTCACCAGGATCTCATCTGGTAAAATAAATTTCAAACAGATAAAACAGTTAGGTATTGAAACTAGAAATACATAATAAAAGCCAAGGAAAATTAAAAGCACAAGCAAGTGATATCGGTTTCCTAAGTAAGTAATTAAGTAAAAAATGAGTAGTCTATTATATTTGAATTGCATTATTTAGTAGGTATAATTAACAGACCCAAAATTGACTCTTTCCCTTAAGAATTAAGCAATCAACTTCCTCAAGGGCAAATTACCAAATCGAAAATTTTCCTTTAACAATAGCTTAAACATGCAAAGCTTTTTCCTACCTAGAACATAAATATTTCTAAATTTGTTGGGTTTTCTCTCTATTCTCCACATCCATTTTTGAGCCTGAAAGCATATTTTTAAATGTCTGTACAAATTATTATTTCTTATTACCAAGAGGCCCCACATCTAAACTCTATGTAATAAGCAATAGAGACTATATATCAATTGTACTAAATAGCCTATCAGTTCTTCTGTCTGAACATAAGTGGCTTGCTGTGTTCATATGGAAATTTCACAATTAAGAATACAAGCTTGGACTGGGGATGTGGCTCAAGTGGTCGAGCGCTCACTTGGCATGTGCGAGGCACTGGGTTCAATCCTCAGCACCACATAAAAATAAAATAAAGATAATGTGTCCACCTAAAACTAAAAATTAAATATTTTAAAAAGAAGAAAAAAAAAGAATACAAGCTTATGGGGCTGGGGTTGTGGCTCAGTGGTAGAGCAACTGTCTAGCATATGTGAGACACTGGGTTTGATTCTCAGCACCGCATATAAATAAATAAAATAAAGGTCCATCAACAACTAATAAAAATATTTTTTAAAAATACAAGCTTTTATAGAAAATCCCCAATTTCATTTCACTTGATCCTTTGCCTAGTAAAAATGGATGAAGGGGTTTCTCAAATGAAAGCCTTCAATGAAAGAGAAGTAGGGACATTCAATTCACACACCATCCAAGCAAGGTTCTTTTTTTTTTTTTTTAGATTATTTTCACTTTACTTATATAAGACAAAAAATTTGCAAGTGAGGTATAGTCATTCAGGTCCCCCTGCAAATATTTTATATATAACATAAAATTTAGATGAAACACTGATCTTGGGTTACACTTATTTTTGCACAAATATTTTGAAAAAGAGTTTGCAGAATGGATTGCTTTTCTTTACATTTAACAAATAACTAAAATTGAACAGCAAATAGTTTATCGGTTAAGTACATGGTTTCAACTGCAGTAATAAATTCACTTGAACAGGAAACAATAATCAAGTCAAAAGAATAAATGCTTGCTAATCATCAGAAAATCTGTGGCCATTAGGGCTGTCTTGTAGAAATCCAAAATCACTCAGAGGCCAGATCTTAAAGAAGATTCGTCCTCTTATTAGTCTATATGGAGTAGGTCCATAATACCTGGAATCTGTAGAATTCTGTAAATTATCACCTTCTAACCAAACATGACCTGTTGGCACATAAATATAGGTTTTAAAGAAATCTGATGGACTAGTGGTGAGGATTTTGTCTCTTTGCAAACCGATTACTCTTTTACAAGTATTTGATTTTGGTTCACTTGGGCTTTTTGCAATCACAATGTCACCTCTTTAGATACCATAAAAATGTCAGCTAAGATTTTCTGCAAAGACAATATCTGAATTTTGAATTGTTGGCTCCATTGATGGTCCAGAACACATACATCTGTTCTACAATACATTCAATTTTAGGGTAGTTGCAGGGCTTCCAGGAAGAAATCTAAAGAATGTCTCAAAGCGTATGTGGGTGATACATGGTTTCAGGATTCCTCTGGCCCCAAAGAACCCGGAGAGACCCTCATCCAAGACTCAGGCGGGCCTTTCTCCAAGCAAGGTTCTTTTTTTAGAGGCTTCGGGGAGAGTTCCAGGGATTGCATTGAGCCACATCCTCAGCCCTATTTTATATTTTGATTTAGAGACAGGGTCTCACTGAGTTGTTTAGCACCTTGCTTTTGCTGAGGCTGGCTTTGAACTTGCAATCCTCCTGCCTCAGCCACCAGAGCTATTAAGATTATAGGTGTACGCCACCATACCCTGCTTCAAGCAAGGTTCTTAAATGGCGTGCTGTCACTCACCTTGGGAGCTGTAAGGAATGCCAATTCTACTACAGTCTCGAACCATGTCTACAAAGCTGGAAATTTTAAATTCTTCTGCAGCTTCCTCATCTTCATACTAAAGATGGAAATTAAAAGGCAAACAGACTCTGATGAGACACCATGAAAAGTTCTACATTTTTCTACATTTTTTATTAAATTTTTAAAAATATCTTTATTTATTTTTATGTGGTGCTGAGGATGTAACCCAATGCCTCCCACGTGAGGGGCAAGCTCTCTACCACTACCCACAGCCCCAGCCCCTTTTTTCTACATTTATCAGTGCTGTCCCAAGACATTTATAGTAGACTGCACCCAAGAGGGTGTTTTCAAAGCCAAACTATTGAAATTGCTGGTCAGAAAAATTTGTCATTCCTTTATAATCATACACAAAAATCATACACAAAAATGAACTGAAATCATACACAAAAATCAACTCAAAATAGATGAGGACATCTAAGGCAAGGCATAAAATTTATCCTCCTTCACCCCAAATCTTCAACATACAAAGAGTTCTTGACCAATATCAGGTCACAACTTTCATAAAATCTTAAAACTCAAATCTCAATTTGATTTCCAGCCAAATTCTTGAAAAGGACCCAAAGGGAAACAGAAGCAGATACCAGGAAACCCAAAGACAGAAATGTCACATACTTAGGATAGTCCCCTAAGCACTAGTCCCAGAAGACAGTGGTCTCAGGCTGGTGTAGAAGCAGCAGAACAGGAACATAGGTTCCAAGCCTACTACTAGGTCCTGATTCCAACAGCCCCTTTTTGTCACCTTCAGGCAAATAATTTATCTAAAAAGTAGCTTCAAAATGAAATATAAAAATCTCTACTTAAACTATTTTGAGGGGCCACCTGTTCCAGACCAACACTTTCCTTAAACAAGTACCCATTTGATCTTTTTTCCTCACCTCATTTTCAGTCATGCAGTGGAAATGCAGATTTCTCCAATGTGCCACATAGGGTAATAGATACCGATAGTTGACAGGATTACAGTACAGATGGACACTATCTGATTTAATCAATATAATTACATCTGTAAGAAAACAAAAATCAAGACACAAAATTGTCAAAGGCTTTTCCTTTAGATAGTTCCTGCCCAGAAAATTAGTTAAACCATTAAGGGCTGGGGATGTCCAAGTTCAGTGGTAGAGCACTTAAACCCTGCAGGAAACCCTGAGTTCAAGACCCTACACCACCAAAAAAACCCCAATCATTAAAAGTATTTCAAAAACAATATAACAAAACTAATAATAAAATTATTTAATTAGGCAATGTGCTTCAAACCAACTAGAACATTCAAGTGTTGACGATAAGAATTTCCTGGTCTCCATGGCCCTCTGGTTATAGCAATGCAGGCACCAAATAACCAGTCTTGATCAACCAAAACATGGTGTTTTGCAAGGGTCAACACAGTAAAATCTGTGATACCAAACTCAGCTGTGTACTTCAATGCATAGATAAATACCAAATGGAAACCTCATGGTTTAAGCCCTCTCAGACAGGAAAACAGCACCAACTATGGCCAGTGATTGTGCTCTCACAGAGATCAGTGTCTAAAGCTCTTGACTGCTGGCTTATCTAGCTCCAGGCAATTGTGGTCCTGGATACTGCGTGTCATCTTTGGGAAAGCTTACTGTGTACACAGGAAAGGCTGGGAGGAAGGAAGCTGAGGCAAGGGGAAAGAGCTTCTGTAAATAGATCAGCACAGCTCACAGATTTAAGGAACGGCCATCAACAATGGTAAATCAAGCAAATAAAGCAATCCTAAAGGTATAAATAAAACCAGGTAAATGGGAGAGCCATGGACTAGGAAAGCAATATTAAAGTAGTAGGAACACTGAGAATGAAAGGAGCCATACCTCTGAATAAAAACAGAGATTTCATTCCATGGTTTCTCTGAGACCAGAGCCACCAGGCTTCTAATAAGATGAAGCCAGAAGTCACTGGAGGTAAAAAGGTACATAGGGAAGAGGAGCATCTGATGTGGGACAATTGGAACAATGCCAACACAGCAGTGCAGTGTAACTGACCACACTTTATGAAAAATATTATAATAAATACAAGCCATAGTTGACACATAGGTGCTAGCCTTTTAAGCCACTCTGCACTTCACATCTGGTCAGCCCAGAGTATTCTGGAAATAGCCTTTTCACTGTGGACTCTCAGGTAAGTGCTAGAGTCAAAGGGTAGCAAAAGGTAGGAAAGGGGGGTAACCTCTCATCTCTCAGTACTGGGTTTCCTCACCACCCTCTCTAGAGCCCTGTCCTAAATCACTTGTAGATTACCTTCTGAGGAGTGTGAGCTTGATGTCACCCAGAGAGACTGAGACACTCTACATTGAAGTGCAACATGTTCAAAGAACTAGGATACTATAAAGGGCATAATAAAAGCCAGGCACAGTGGTTTGTAATCCCAGTGACTCAGGAGACTGAGGCAGAAGGATTACAAATTCAAGTCCAATCTGGGCAATTTAGCAAGACCCTGTCTCAAAATAAAAAATAAAAAGGGCTGGGAACATAGCACAATGGCAGAACACCCTTAGGTTCAATCCTCAATATCACAAGAAAAAAAAAAAGTTTAAAACTGAACAGCTGATGTATTCTCAGAATCTCAACATACTGATGTCATCATTATAAACATGAGTTTAATAGTATACAGGCAGGTAAAAGAATAAAGTATATATGAGTTGAATATGTTCAATATTTTTAAAGTTTTTTAAAAAATAAGTCACTCTTATTGGTCCTTTTGCCTTTTATATATTTAGTGAGTTAACTATACAAGCAGAAATGTGATCAGAGTTTTCTAAAAATGGATTTGCTAATTTGGAGTAAAATGCTCATTTGCTAAGCACCTATTGTGTCAGGTGACAGGATAAAGACAAAAATAAGCAAAGTAAAGCACCTTTTAGAATTTCAAGTATTTCCTTAGTTTTAGTACTGTAATGTCCTTAGCAATCCTAGCTATAGTGAAATGTGTAGCTGATACAAGTTGCCAAGATTAATTCTTTCCAAACAAGCAGAGCTATACAATGTAAGAAAAAAAAATTTAAATCAAAATCTGAAACGTAATTTGAATTGAAAAAAAAGTTAACAGAAGGGAGATTTTCAGTTAATTCTATACTTTCTAATAAAAAGGAGAGCTTTAATCAATATAAGGGATAACCATAACTAAGGACTTTACCACAGAAGATCAGGGTTTCTCAACTTTGGCACTACTGACAATTTGGATTAAATAATTCTTAGGGGCTGTCCTGGGCACTGTGGGATGTTTACCAGCATCCCTGACCTCTACTCACTGATGCCAGTAGCACTCCCCACACAATTGTAACACTCAAAAATGTCTTCAGACATTGTCAAATGTCCCCTGGGGGACAAAAGTGCCCCCAGCTGAGAACCACTATACTGAAGCAAGATCATTTCACATCAGATGTTTGCTTTCATGGCTCCCCCAGCTGCTTCACAACAGTTGTCTGTCTCCTGTCCAGTTTTATTTGCCTGCTCCTGTCTCCTGACCCATCTGGCAGACAAGTCATGATGCTAAGTATGTGATATCAGAGATAGCTCCTGGGCAATAGCCCACTGCAGCATCAACACAGGCAGAGTGTCTCAGAGCTAAGGAAAGAGGAATGTAAGCAGAAAGCCTGCATTGTAGTCACAGGCATCATCAGGAATTAAAGTCACACAGAAAACAATTCCAAAAGATAGCAGGACAAACAGCTTTTGTTCCTCAGCTGAAGAGCCACAAGAAGTCTTCCTTGTAGGGGCAGCCTTGCAGGCTCATCCTTGCTTCACAACTAAACATGCTTTCACTGGATAACAGCACATATTTGAACCTTCAGCCTTAGAGGCAAATTATGGAGCCTTAATGGGAAATTATGAGGAAAACTAATATCTTGCCAAGAAAAGATAAAGCCAAATACTGATGTTTACTTTCTTCTCCAAAGTTGATTTACCCAGTAAATATATTCTGAAAATAACTTGTTGCTATTCACTTATCCAGTGAGTGACTAACAATACTTAATATATCAACAAAGAATAAATGTTATTTTTCACTGTCAAAAAGGCAAAAAATTTAGAGCTGGGGATGTGGCTCAGTGGCAGAGCACTTGCCTAGCACATGAGACACTGGATTCGGTCCTTAGCACCAAATAACAAATAAAATAAGGCGTTCTGTCCATCTTCAACTACAAAAAATAAAAATTTTAAAAAAGGCAAAAATTTTGCCAGATGTGGTGATACATGCCTGTAATCCCAGCTACTAGGGAAGCTGAGGTAGGAAGATTTTGAGTCTAAGGCCAGCCTGGGCAATTTAGCAAGACCCTGCCTGACTTGAAAAGAAAAAGAAGAAAACATGAGGAAAAAAAATAAAAGACAAACATTTTAATGGGGCTTTTATTTTAAATTTGATCATACTTTTCCATAAAAAAATCATGAACTAACAATGCAAAGAAATAAACTCTTCTCTCACATAGAATTTTACCAACATAGACTTACCATCGAGAACTTCTTCAGAAAATCCTGTTTTCTCAAAATCACTGATATTCTGATTGTATAAACCAAACAGAAGATAATTTGCCAGCTCTCTGCAGCCTTCATTATACCTGCTATCAATTCCTGCAAGGCAAAGAAAGTTCTGATCAGCTGTTCTGTACTATGGGAGGCAAATGAGCCCCAATAATTTGCCCCTGCTTAGCAAAACTCTGATGATCAAAGATGGCAGCTCATATCATCCAATATCCTTACTTGGATTACAAGATCTAAATATTTAGCTTAGAAAATCAAACAGCACAGATTATTGAGACTAAAATAATCTGAGGATGTAAGGAACCAGATAATAATGCTTTGAGTCCTTCTATGGCTTGTTTAAGAGCTTAGAATACTCTCAGTTAGTCTTAAAAATAGATGTCTTAAAAATATTCACCTTTTTTTTTGATATGGTGCATGGGGATTGAACCCAGGAATATTCTGTCACTGAGCTATGTACATCCCCAGCCCTATTTTTTAACAGGGTATCACTAAGTTGCGTACAGCCTCACTAAGTTGCTAAGGCCAGCGTTGAACTTGCTATCCTCCTGCCTCAGCCTCCCAAGTCACTGGAATTTCACATGTATGTCACCACTCCTGACTAATATTCACTTCTTGTGAAGATCTTTAGCAAAACATGTGGATGCAAATAAAGGCAATTAAGGTGGCTTGAAAATAACATGAAGAAGATAACAAGTGAATGGAACTATAAACACTCAGCATCTCATAAATATTAAGAGCAAGAAGACTAAGCACTGCACTGGATGCTGGACTACCTGCTAATGGCATTCATAAAGCTTACAGTCTAGTGAAGCTGGGTCAGAGATAATAAAAAGGCAATTAAATGATGCTGTCTTCACTACTGCCTCTTGATGCTTCAGGTATATATACTATCTGGTTCTGGGTATCTGTAAAGTCCCAGAGCCGTAGCAAGAGGAAAGGGTCTGGCAGAAGGAGTTCTAAGAATAAGAGTAAGGTAAGGGCTCCTTATCTCATTGGTGTCTCTCTATCCAACCTCATTAAAACAGCCACAGATTACAGGGGAATGAAAGCTAGGAGTTTATCTTACAATGATATAGTGTTATCATTTTACTGTGATAAGAATCTAAATTGCCCCCACCCTGAGTCCCATCTTGTTAAAAGTACGGACCTAGGATGCACAGGATCCCATCAGGCCGAGACTTGCTGCTCTGGGTTAGGATGCTCTGTATCTGGCGGAGTCGGCTACAGCTGCAAAAAGAACAGGAAACAGTTCTGAGCACCAGCACAACCTGATGATAAGAGCTGCACTTGGTATGAGATGCCCATGATAAGGCATGAGGAAGAGAAATGACTTTGCTAGGGATGGAAATCAGTCCTTGTTTGGTTCTAGCATCAAAACTACAAAACGAGTTCCTTTCTCTTCTGTTTTCTGGAAGAAACTGTACAGGACTGGCCTGAAGACTAAGTCTAATTACCGATTACAAACTGGATAGCCCCTGGATCTATGGCTCAACAGAAGTTACAGCTTAAGGCCCTTCTCATGGTCAATCCTGGTCAGGAATAAGACTCAGCAGCTTACTTCCAATGATGTCTCCTTTTTGAAGATTTTCTTTCTTTTTTTAACTTGTTTCTTCTTTTATGGTACTGGAATTGAACCCAGGATCTCACACAAGTGCTCTGCCGCTGAGCTATATTACCCAGCACCCCCAACACCTTTTTTTGAGACAGGGTCTTGCTAAATTGTGGAGGCTGGCTTGAATCTGCAATCCCTTTGCCTTAGCCTCCCAAGTAGCTGGGATCACAGGTGTGTACCACCCCTTCTTGAAGAAGAGTTTCCACACTGATTTTCCCTAACTGTAGTCTTCATCAGTGTGTTTCAAAAACAAACACAAACAAAGAAACTAGGTCTAATTCATTCCCACAGCTACTCCTTATGGAGGTATCAGCAGAAAATATGTTCTCCTTATGTACTCCCAGATATTAATGTCATTTCTAAGAACCCCATTTTCTCCAATCCAATAATCCTCCTTCCCAGCACTCCCAGAGAGGGGTGCCCAATTTTCTGCCCAAGATTAAGCCTTTGGACTAGGGATGTAGCTCAGTGGCAGAGCTCTTACCTAGCACTGGGTTTGATCCTTAGCACCACACAAACAAATAAAACAAAGGCATTCTGTCCATCTACAACTACAAAAAAATTAAGAAAAAAAGATTAAGCCTTCTACCTGGTCTTCCCATCACTTCTGCCTCTACTATTCAATATTCCCTAACACTCCTTATATGAAATCACTTCCCTATAGTCAATAGAAATCCAGTCCTACCACACCATTAACTAAGATTATCCACAAACCCAATGACACTAACTGTTCTATCCATGACTGTGAGACTTCCCACCGCTTCTGAATCTGCTTCACTATAGTAACTGACACTCACCCAAACACAGGATTTCCAGTCAGACAACACTATTTCCCTTCTCTAATTCCCCAGCTTCCTTTCTCTTTTGGATTCTTTTCAATGGTCCTGTACCCTAACTTATTCACTCCATGACTTATAGTCACTGTTTTTATCAAGACTTTCACAATCTTCTACATGATATCAGAATTAGATAAAGGCAGAGAAAGAAAAGAAAGAACCAAACTACAAACAAATATCCATCACAAATATAGATACAAATCCCTTAACAGCCAGGCATGGTGGCACATGCCTATAATCCCAGTGGCTCAGGAGATGAAGCAGGAGGATTACAAGTTCCAGGCCAGCCTCAATAACTTAGAGAATCCCTAAGCAACTTAGTGGGACCCTTTTTCAAAATAAAAAAACAAAAAGTGCTGGGATGTAGCTCAATGGTAAAGTGCTCCTGGGTTCAATCCCCAGTATAATTTTTAAAAAAAGAAAGAAAGAGAGGGGGGAGGGAGAGAGGGAGGAAAAAGAAAAGAAATCCTTTAAAAACATTGCAAATAAGGGCTGAGGTTGTGGCTCAGAGGTACTGCACTCGCCTATCACATGCAGGGCCCTGGGTTCAATCTTAGCACCACATAAAAATAAATAAATACAATGAAGGTATTATGTCCAACTATAACTAAAAAATAAATATTAAAAAATATATTTGCAAATAAGAATTAAGCAACATATAGAAAGAATTACACACCACAACCAAGTAGAGTTGATTCCAGAGATAACCCAAGGATGGTTCATTATTCATAAATCAATCAATGTATGGCATAACATTAACAAACTAAAGAAGAAAAACCATGCATTCATATAACTGATGCAGAAAAACCATTTGACAAAATTCAACATTCACTCACAATAAAAACATTCAGAAAACTAAGAATAGACTGCTTTCCTCAACTTGGAAAAAAAATATAAACAAAACCTTTCTGAGCCAAGTTCAGAATGTATATAATGATGAAGGGCAATCAGGAACAAGGTAAGAATATCTGCTCTCATCATTCCCATTTAACAAACATTGGAAGTTCTAGCCAATAGAATACAGTAAGAGAAACAGATTAAAGACATAAAAAATGGAAAGGAAAAAATAAAATTGCCCCTATTTGCAGATATGGCCTATTAACAAATATTCACAGAGAGAAAGTAGAGTGGTGGTTGCTAGGGACCAGGGGGAAGAGGGAGCAAGGAGTTTAATAAGAACAGAATTTATATTTTGCGAGATGAAGAGAGTTACGAGGATGGATGGTGGTGCTTTTAGTCTAATAAGTTATATGAATGTACTTTAATGCTACTAAACTGTGCAGTTAAGACCAGCTAAGATGAAAATAATTGTTACGTGCACCTTAATACAACTTTTTAGACTTTTTTTGTTCTTTTTAGATGTATTTTGACATATTATACATACATAAAGTAAAACACTCTAATTAGAATCTCATTCTTGCAGTTGTACATGATGTAGAGTTTCACTGGTTGTGCATTCATATATGAACATAGCAAAGTTATGTCTGATTCATTCTACTGTCTTTCCTATTCCCATCCTGCTTCTCTTCCCTTCATTCCCCTTTGTCTAAGCCAATGAACTTATATCCCCCCTCCTTATTTTATGTTAGTATCCACATACCAGAGAGAACATTTGGCCTTTGGTTTTTTGAGATTGGCTTGTTTCCCTTAACATGATATTCTCTAGCTCCTTCCATTGACCAGCAAAGGCCATAATTTCATTCTTCTCTATGGCTGAGTAATATTCCATTATGCATATATTCCACATTTTCTTTATCATTCATTTGTTGAAGAGTACCTAGGTTGGTTCCATAGCTTAGCTATTGTGAACTGAGCTGCTACAAACATTGATGTGGCTGTGTCATTGTATTATGCTGATTTTAAGTCCTGCAGCACATATACCTAACTAGGCCAAATGGTGGTTCCATTATTTTCTGAGAATGGTCGCACCAATTTGCAGTTCCCCAGCAATGTATGAGTAAACCTTTTCCCCTACATGCTCACCAACATTTATTATTACTTGTATACTTGATAATTGCCATTCTGATTGGAGTAAGATGAAATCTCAGTGTGTTTTTTTTTTAAGAGAGAGAGAGAGAGAGAGAGAGGGAAGAGAAGAGAGAGAATTTTAATATTTATTTTTCAGTTTTTGGCGGACACAACATCATTGTTTGTATGTGGTGCTGAGGATCCAACCCAGGCCGCACGCATGCCAGGTGAGCGCGCTACCGCTTGAGCCACATCCCCAGCCCTCAGTGTGGTTTTAATTTGCATTTCTCTAATTCCTAGAGATGTGGGACATTTTTTCATATATCTGTTGACCAACTGTATTTCTTCTTCTTTGAAGTGTCTTTTCAGTTCCTTTGCCCATTTATTGATTGGGTTATTTGGTTTGTTTGTTTGTTTGTTTTTGGTGTTAAGTTTTTTGAGTTCTTTATATATCCAGTTAATACAACTTTTTAGAATTAAAAAAATGTTGGGTTGGAGATGGGGCTCAGTAGTAGAGAGTCTGCCTGGCATATATGAAGCCTTGGGTTCAATCTCTGGCAACACACACACACAAAAAAAAAAAAAATTAAAAAATGTCAATATTATATGAAAAAAACAACAGAGGGCTAGGGTTGTAGCTCAGTGGTAGAGCACTTGCCTAGCATGTGTGAGGCACTGGATTGGATTCTCAGCACCGCATAAAATAAAGTCCATTGACAACTAAAAAAATATTTTAAAAAAAAAGAGAGGAAGAACTTCATTTGATTAAAAAAAATGAAAAGAAGGAAATATCTGTGAGACATCTGGGGAAATCTGAATACTGACTAGAAAATCTGATGCTATTAGGGATCCACTGTTAATTTTTTTAAGTGAAATAATGTTATTGTGCTTCTATAGTTCAGTGTCCTTTTTCTTAGAGATATATAAGGAAGTAGACAGGAGTAAAATGTCATGATGGCTGCAATTTATTTAAAAATGGTTTAACATGAAATAAGAAAGATTGAGGAAAGAAGAAAAAAGATAAAGCACATATGGCAACAAGTTAAAAATGGCTGAATCTGCCGGGTGCAGTGGCTCACGCCTGTAATCCCAGTGGCTTGGGAGGCTGAGACAGGAGAATTGCAGGTTCAAAGCCAGCGTATGCAACTGCAAGGCACTAAGCAACTTAGTGAGACCCTGTCGCTAAATAAAATAGAAAATAGGGCTGGGGATGTGGCTCAGTGGTCCAGTACCCCTGAGTTCAACCCCCAGTACCCCCCACCAAAAAATGGCTGAATCTAGGGCTGGGGCTGTAGCTCAGTGGTAGAGCACTTGCCTAGCATCTGTGAGGCACTGTGTTTGATCCTTAGCACCACATAAAAACAAGCAAATAAAATAAAGAAATTCTGCCTATCTACAACTACAAAAAAAAAATTTAAAAAAAAGGTTGAATCTATGGTGAGCGAAAGATCAATTCATTGTATTATTCTTTCAGCAGTTCTGTAGGTTTGAATATTTTCACATCATAAAAATTGGGGGACTAGGAGGAAAGGGTTATATGGAGTAACTGGGTTTTAGAAGCAGCTGGACCGGAAATAGCAAGAACATTCAGAAAACTTCTCTCCTCAGGAAATGATTACTTGCCCCTTGTTAGTTTTTCATGTTTAACTGAAGACTGATCTTGTAATCATTCTCTGTCTGCACTAGAAAGATTTCATCAAATTGCCTCTTTGGCCTATTTCCCAATCCATCCACCAGTGAACTAACTGCCAAGTTTACCAAGAGCTCTTTGGTTTTCAAACTTTCAACCAGCCAGTGACAAAAAGCATGAA